ATATATATAGCATTTGAATCTTTAATATCAGAATAAAAAATATTTTTTTTTATTAAGTTTTTAAAAGTGAAGTGCATTTTTTCATGCATAATTTCATGGCATCAATATATTAAAAATTTAGATATTAAATTTTAGATATTAGATATGTAAATACAAAACAACTGCATGGTGTGTATGTAAATTTCCTATTTTATAAATTATTATTATAAGTAGAAAAATAATCAAATGTCATTAATATTTATACATATTGAAAATAATTTATGGATTTTATATAACCCTTTCAAATTTTAAATTTCATACATCAAAATCAACAACCATGGCTTCTCTTTTTTTTGGAGGGGTAATTTAGATACCTAACACACAATTCTTATGTATTTACATATCTCTTATCTAAACTTTCATATTTACATATGTAAAGTTTTGGTGCTTTAAATTTATGCATGAAAAGTACATTTCATTTTTTAAAAATGACAAAAGTGCCAATTTAATGTAGTATTAAACATTTGATTGTTATGTGTAAATAAAAATGTTTAGGTTTAAATGGGATATGTAAATAAATAGGAATTGTGTGCTATTTATGTAAATACCCCTTATCTATTTTTCACTTTTATATGTACAAATTGAAGGCGATACCAAGAGAGGGGAAGCATTTTGGTGGGCATGGTGAGGCAGAGTACTACCAAGTTATTTTCTTCGCCGCCGTTCTTGCTCAGTTCTTCTTACTAGGTGTAGTGGGAACCATTAAATACTCCTCCGCTTTGCTCGGCGGCATTATCGTGGCTGTCTGCGTACCCGTTACAGAAGTTTTCGCAGTCTTCTTCTTCCACGAAAAGTTTGATGGAGAGAAAGGAGTTGCTTTAGCTCTTTCTCTTTGGGGCACTGCTTCATATTTCTATGGCGAGTATAAAGAATATAATAATAGCAAAGCTGCTCAGCTTCTTCCACTTTCAGTGATTTCGAAGTCCACAGAGGAGTCTGTTAAATAATGAAGAAGACAGTAGTAATGGCTGAACTTGAATATTCTTATTTAACAATTAATTCGAAGTTCGTTCTTTATGTTTAACGGATTGTAAGTAACTTTTATTTCGTTCGAACGCTGTTTTAGTTTAGCATTGCTTAAATTATTTAGAATTGATTACTGACCAGTGGCTCTATGGGGGAAGAAATCATTCTATATGGAGTACGTTTGGACTCTAGTAATATATTGTCATGTGTGTTATATCGGACCCACCTAAAAAAAATAAAAATGAAACCGTGAAGGCTATTTGAGCGGGTTATTGGGGGTTATTGAGGCATTAACTCCAATAACGCCTCAATAAACCCTCAATAACCTATGTTGTTATTCAATAACCTATTTTGTTCCACTCTAATAGCCTCTCAATAAACTCTGCGGTTTCATTTTAATAACCCTTTTCATTAACCCTAGCAATAAACCTCCAAAAACCTTTCAATAACTTCCCAATATGCTCTGCGGTTTCACGTCAATAACCTCGTAATAACATTCACGTGACGGAATATTACTAGAGTAAGACGAGCTACCTAAGTACTCTTCTATAAGAGAGTTCATATGTCTTTTTATATAAATCTTTAATTTATTTTAAGTGATTTTTTAATCCAAAATATGCACGTAAATTTATGCTTAACGAAGCTAATATTGTAAGTCCTATCAACTCTAATGATATGCCACCCCCTTGTGAACTTACACTGCAGGCTGCAGCCATGCATGCCGTGAATCGTGATTGTGAATGGCTGCAGAACGAAGAGAAACTCGAAGGCAATAAGCTGTGATTTATAGCTTTTGACAGAAGTTCACGTTTGAATTGTTTGAGTGATCACTTATAGTATTTCTAATAATCACCGCACTAAAATTATTCAGAAAATAAGAGAATAACAGCACAAAAGATATCTCATTTTACCTAAGAACAAAGCTTTTAAATTAGTTGCATCTCTAATTATAAAATTTCCTTTTAGGAAGAAAAGAAATTTTAGTTATTGTTTGATTGTAAGAGAGATTATTACAAAGGGATAATGGATAATGTATGTGCGAATTCGGTGTTTTAAGGATGAACTCAGATAAGTGATAAGTACATTTGGAGCAACTTAAATGCGTAAAAACCGCATCCACTTTTGTTGATGAGATAAGTGATAAGTACACTTGGTACAACTTAAATACCTAAAAACCGCATCCACTTTTGTAGATGAACCTTATATATTAATTTCTCTGTTTATAGTGAGAGAAACTATCTTAGTTTAACAAACTAATCAAACAAGATAAATTTCTCTCAACAAAGATGAAAGTCTTAAATTATTGTTAGGAATTAAAGTTTAATACAAATGTTACTTCAAATATAGCATTAAGTTGAATATAAATGTGTGAAACTTATTAAGTAGAATGAAGTTTAACTCTTGAACATTAATAAACTTTTGGTGTAAAAATTGAAATTTCATAGAAAATTCGAAAGTCAAACTTACACATATTTGAGCCCGATCAAGTTAGGAGGTCTTCTCTCAACTTATGGTAAATAGTAATGGGACAAAATTGTGGGATCACTAATTAGCCAATGAGAACAATATCTCAGTAGGTGAGAGTTTGAGTTGACAAATTTTATTATAGCATCGCACATACCCGAAAATAAGAACCAACTACTGTACAGATCAAAATATTCGCATCATGGGAGCCACTAGTTGAATCCTATATAGGATATGAGGCTACTTAATGGGAGCTTCATCTTGAATATGTAGGGGACATGTCATAATCATTTATGTTCGGTGAATAATTTTAAATTAAGTATACCATTGTCCTGAACATCAATTGTTTAATATAGAGAAATTGTAAAATCTTTTTAAAATGAACCTAAGCACTAATTAAACAAAAAGACACCTCCTTACATAACAAAGAGAACTTTATAAGAAACTCTTGAAACACTTGTGCTCATATTACAAGCAATCTCATGATACGTGCGCTTCTGATAAGTTTTACAAATGAGATAAAATCATGAGTTTTTTAGACCAGAATGTACAATTTCTCGATGGTTGAAATGTGAGCTATCACAAAATGAGCTTACATTCAAAAGTTTTATTTTTTCCTTAAATTATTCACACATTAGCTCCTAAAAAAATATCTCGATTTCTACACCTCTCTTTCCTCGACGGTTTCCACAGCATCCCTCTTTAGCTTGTTGCAACTTGGCTTCGTTATGTTGGTGCCATATTCACATGCTTCTATGTGAAGCAAAAGTTCATTTCTATTATATGGTATATATATATATATATATATATATAACTAATAATTCATGATTAATGTAACTTTTTTGTTGGAGGACTGGCTGCGCCACTAACACTTGGCAATTATTCTAGCAAGAGAAGTATGAATATTGCTAACTATTAAAACAAAGCTAAAATTGCTATGACTTCATAAACTGAGGAATTGGCCGATGCAATTATTTTTACTTATCGACCAAAGCAAAGAGGGACAAAAGTAAATATAAGAAA